ATACATCTATATATCCGTACAAGCACACACACACACGCCACACTTAAAAAATTTTTATAATAAAAATTTTCAAGGAAACCTATAGTATTTATTAAACACGTTGTTTAAGATTAAATGTAGATATGATAAGAAATGTACAGAGAACAGGTATCAATAATTTTTATAGTTCAGTATACACTATACAAGAATACATCAGCTTTATCACATCATCTATAACGCACACTTTATCTGTCCTATTTATGTTTTATTCTGTTTTAAGTTTTTAGGGCAAGTTTAGCAACTAACTGAAAGAAAGATTCAATTTCTATATTTCACCTGAATATCACTTGCACTTACTTCTTCAAGATTTTTAAGAAAAAATCTCGAGCCGTTGTCAGTGATGAAGCGAAGTAAAGGTAGACTTTCAGTTATGCCATTATTTCAAAAGAAAGTATATGAAGAGAAAAGTTTGCTAAATGCCGTAAGGATTTGGGTTCGAAGAGCGATCGTGCAGAATAATTAGCTAGAAGAAGAATATGTGAACGCAATGGTAAATTCCAATCAATCGAACGATAAGGAAATGATTAAAGCTTAGGAGGAATGAATGTATGTTATGAGCACGATTTGTTTATGTCTGTAGAGCGTTTCATATTTCTCGGGCCATTTCATTAAAGAAATAATAAAAGTCTTATGTTGTTGTTTATACCCTAGACTACTTGTGGCATAAGAGTATAGTAAGTTTACATGGATTTACGCAACACCGAGAAGGACATTTTTTTATACCAATCGACTCAGAATTATTTTCTGAGCTAAACTCGTCCGTCCGTCTGTCCGTCTTGCACTCAACCTATCGGTCGAAATTTTGGAGGTCTTTTGATGACATTTGGTGCACATTTGGTACACAGATGGACATTCTTTGGCGCAAGGGCAAACGCTATTGGCAATGCCTCGGATCGGGCCACTTTTTTGAGCACTGCTCATAAGACCTCATTTTATACCACATACGTGTATGTAAATACTTGTATATAAGCAACATGTATATACATATATATATAAATAACTGTAGGGTGGTGTAGGACATTTAATGGTGAGCTGAGTCCCATTATAGTGTTTTCACACGTTTTATAATTGGATGTTATAATCTTCATCTACTTGCAGAATATGTAAAGCACTGGTTTGGAGAGTATCACGAATATGTCACACTCATTAAAATACATTCCCAACCTAAAAATATTTCTTCGACATGGTCAGTCATCGTTTATTTTTAAAGTAACATGCAATGTTGCCATAAATATTTCGACTTGTAATTGCAATAAAAGCAGTTTGCGTAGGCGTACATCGCCCATTACCGGCTACCGGCTGGCATTTGATGTAAATGATAACTAAGCGCTCTTGACATATTGCAGGCAAAAGTTTAGTGAATTTATGTTGAATTGTAGTTCGTTGGTGAATAGAATACCGTTTAATTCGCAAAAAATAATGCCGGGCATAAATTAATAAATTTTTTTCTTATTCAAGTACTCTTAGCCATTGGCATAAGTAGTACAAGCTTAACATTTCATTGGCAGAGCAATTTAGCAAAGTTGAGCATATTCAATAGTGGTGCCTAAAAACGGATTCGTAGGGGACATCATTTGGATTTGACAGCAAGCTATGTTAGATTAAATAATCTATGTAAGTTAATAAGACGGTCAGTACTTCAAAGAACTTTGACGTGGATAGCCTTGCATTTAAATCACATCCTCCTTAAGCATCGTACCATTAAAGGGCTCTGACTCTGAATACCTTGCCATTGAAGCATTTCACCAATGGTGCATCTCTCCTTTAAAAGGATTCAGTTCCAGCAATTCCCCTTGAGGAGCTTCATTCATTTGTGGACAAACTGAACATGTTATCCGAATGGTTTCAGAAAGTCATTAAGCAGTCGGTTCAAAAAGTCAAATATTGACTTTTTGTCAAATTCTTCAATGTCTTCCAACAATACTGGCGTGTTTATAAATTCAGGTATTTGCAAATATGCGACAAAAGAAGAAGATCTATTTACAGTCACTGCAAGTCTTTGTGACAGTCGCTTAAAAGATCAAGCTGCGTCGCTCAAATAAGCGCAAAGCGTTTATTTCTTTTTGGTAAAACAATTGCAACGAATGGAAAATTTGTTAGACATGCATTTTAGTATACCCGTCTATTAACTGCTATGGCAGATGTCTGTAGGTGTTTAACGTGGATACCTGCCGTGAAGGGTTAATTTCAAGGCGGCCGATGGCACACGAAATGTGGAAACGCATAATCAGCACCCCGAGGAAAACCTCAAGTTCCAGTGGAGATACGCTCTCCCCGGTGAGAGGGAGGCACAGTTTAAAACGTCTACCTTTCTTTGGGTCAGACATCCGGTTGCATCCATACTGTGCCGAGGATCTTTTCGCGATTTGGGCCAATCACAGCCACCATGAAACTCCCGCAATGGGCCTTTCCTGCTGACAGGCCGAAGCTGAAAGATTGTTCCGGGGGATGTTGTTACAGCTGGATTTCAAGAAAGTAAAATGCAGTTGAACGGTAGCCAAATGCACAACAAGTGTGAATTTTAAAAGTTTCACTAGTAAGTCCGCTTCTCTCAAAAAAGTCTTGGCAAAGAGATAGGCAGAAGCCATATGAAGTCAATAATTACAAGAAGTTACGGTGAAGTGAAAATATTTTTCCCTTTAGTAACTTAAAGCCATTGCAATCTCCTTACCTTTTAAAAAATGTGCTCCAAATGGCAACGGAAAAATTTATCCGCAGAGAAGAAGAAATATGAGCGCGTCAAACAAAGATATTTGTCAGATTTTAAAATTATTTTCCCCTTTCCGCTCTAATGAGAGTAATCCCTGCAGCTCTATAACTGGACTGACCTCAATGTTCACCAAGCCATTGCAAATTCTCAGACATCAGCACATAAACACTTAACACGTCTAACTATCTTTTAGTCCTATGCAGGAAGAAACTGCCCCATTTTTATAGCTAGAAAAGCTAGGCTTGATTAGCAATGAAAAAGAGAAACTGTTTCAAGGTTTGCATCATAAGTTGAACGATTATCATCATGGTGAGGTGCTTGCTTTCCAAAAAGAAAGAAAAAAGGGCTTTTCAACGCCAACTACTGGGTTTTACGCAAGTTTGCATTAAATAACAGACGATTTGTTTTAATTACAAAAATGATTTGTCGAAATTACAAAAATGACTATCAAAATGGTCTAACGTGTACAGCTGATCAAGAGAGACTTCATAGAGAATATATTAGGTGTGAAGCTTTGCTTTTCTTCCGATAATCGAATCGAATTGTAATAACCCGGTTACACTTTTACTGTTCAAAATATTATTCCCGACCAGGCATCTTTTAAAAATAATTTGAATTCGGTGCGGAAAGAACAAGTGACCTTTTAAGACTACCCATGAAACAAGCCCCCAGCTTCAGAAGCTTGGGTCAATCGGAACGAGCAATGTATGCTGGTAATAGCGGCCAAGGGAGGATTTTCCACGTCAGATGTGGAAATATTTTTTGAGCGAGTTTTACTATAGTGGGTCGAATTTGTTCACATTAATTATTCACGATATCATGACTTCTGGCATGTCATGTCCATTTTTTTGTCACAATTGCATCAGCGTTTGGGACTGGGATTGCTTTTCATAGATATAAATCATAAAACGTTACGTCTAGCCGATGTGTGGGCGCCAAAAGTGTTCGGCTTTATTGTTCGCCTATTCTGCATCAGCTATTTGGACGCATTCACCGTTTGTCTCTCGTAATGATTGAGTAAGTAAAACAAAGTCTCCGGCAAATAGCGTTTTCTTTTTGGCACAAAATTATACCTATTGCAAGCTCCAAGAAGTTGGGCTCTAATCTGATAACTTGCATAATTTGCGAGTAGTTCAAAGATTATGCTTCCAAATTAAGATGTGGGAGGGATATTTTTATACCGACACTACAGAAATATTTATATGCTCTCTTAGAAAATGCCGAAAGCATTTTTACATCTATATTTATCGGTATGAATAACGGAATCAATTTAGGAATGAGGGATTATGAGCAATTTAAAAGTTTTCTTATCCTCGCTAAAAAAGCAGCTAAATGAGTGTTATTTATAGTTATATAAAACTCTTCGTTCAGAGCTTTGGACGAACCAAACTAGATAAAATATATATGCAGATAAGGCGAAGTAGATACTTACTGTATTTGGCTTGTATGATTAATTGCTTATCAAAAACATGATTTAAAAATGTTTTGCACGATATGCGACGACATTTACGATATAACATATCGTACGATATGCGACATTTACGGCACAGCATACCATACGATATACGATATTTACGACATAATATATCGCATATAAGCTAGAAGTCGCTTTCGTAAAATTCGGTTTAAATCCAATACAATTTGGTTTTTATCCGTTTTAAAAATAACTTTCGTGATATCAATGGGAAATGGGAAAATTAATAAAATATTTTATATAATAGTTTTGTTGTTGTTGTATTGTATATAAATTTAATTTTATTTAATTCATACATAAATCTATTTTAATTTTATTTGCACACTATTTAATAATTGATGTGTTGCCGTTTGTTTTTTATTTTCCTTTCTACTTTTACTTAAATAATATAAAAACAAATAAATTCATCCAGAAAATAATAATGAAAGAAAGCCAAGTATTAGATGTAAGAAAAGAAAAAGAAAATAGGGAAAAGTTAACGTAAAATTTTAAAGCTCCGGACTTTAATATTTTCAAAAATTAAATACTGTACTGCATTTACATATATTTACATTAATAGTAATAATAATAACAAAGCATAGAATTAAATTATTTATTTATGTTTGTAAAGAGAGAATTGAAATAACGAATTACATCGCAAATAATCTTTTACACATACTGATATCACAATAAAGAAATATAATAATAATAATAATAATAATAATAGTAATAATCATAGTTAATGTAATCTTTTTTTTCATTTAAATATTTGATAGACTAAGCCAAGCAGCCATTTATTACTTTTTCATTAATATTTTTATTAACAAAAGAAAAAAAAAACGAAAAGTAAAATAAATAATTCCTCGATTTTAACAATTCCGGAATGAATCTAATCGTATGCGAATTCCACGCCACTATGGGAGTTTTTCGAAATTGACTTTCACTCAATTTGCATAACTCAGGCCAAGCTTCCTTCATCGGTTTTCGCATTTGCTTCTAGCGTACGAATTCTGTTAATTATCGTTTGAAGGATTTGTAATTTTTGTTGCATACATATTGGCAACTTTATAGATAAATTCATATTGTTCTTTAGTTCGTACAGCACTTGCACGTCCATGTCTTACATAGTAAACTATTTGAGGTATATCAACTGCTCGTTTTGGCATTTCCAGGCTTCGTATCGCTATATCACAAGCGATTATGGTACCAGTCCGACCTGTACCTGGAGAGCAGTGAACAGTTAATGGGCTAAAAAATGAAAATAGAAAACAAAAATTCACAAAAACTGAAATGATCAACGGTTTATGTGAAACTTCATGCAAACATGTGGAAATACTGGACGCCTTTATATAAGAGCTTGCTCTTAAACATGATTCGCCGTAATAACTTATTCTAATTTTGGGAGTTAGAAAGAGCCAAATGACTAAGGAGAGGAAAATGCAAATTACTATCATGTTTATATTGGCCCTTAAAAGGGTCATTCAAATCCTAAAAGTGCCTTTAGGGTATGGAGTGGTTCAAAAAAAAAAAAATGCGACCGACAGCAAGCCGTTGTTCAATATTCATAAGCACTTTTCTATCAGCAGAGTCTTTCTAATCGACAAACGAAGTTCACTTGCTTTCGAATTCCCTGCAAAAGACAGAGGCTGTCAGTTACCTTTTCAAACGTCTTTAGAGCATATAGATTCGACGAAAAACGTAAAAGGTCAATCAAGATCGAAGAAACAGCGCCAAAGTCGCTCGAAAATCAAATCTATTTTCTATCTTCGATTATCATAGGCTCGCGTATTATGAATTCCTTCCTCCGGGCCAAACTGTTAACAAGGAATATTATCTGAGTTTGAAGATTAGTTTGAACGCGACAAAATTGGTTTGCAATAATAAATAGATTTAAAAAAGAAACACGAAAGTGGGATTTACTTTTTAGACAGAGTAGTAGAGAGGAGGGGCAGAACCGAGTTGCTTGAACGCTTATATCGCCCTAAGCTCGAAAGCCATACGAGATTCAAACTGTTATCTAAAGATAGATACTAAAGCGGTACTATATAAAAAAAGACCGAATCTTCTGGACCCACTACCCGTACCTTGAAAAGAAAAAAACAAGGACAATGACATATCGATACTTTATAGTACTGGCGATTTTGTTTACTTTCCTATAGGTGTTGTAGGATGATCTCCGAGATATATGCTGCATGGAAATCTTTATCGTTATATCATTTTTAGCGTATAAATAATGAGCAAAGGGTCGAATCCTTTTGCTAACCTCAGTTTATGTTGTATTGCGGGTGAGCACTTTCAACAATTTGACCCATATTCAACTAAAAGCTACTTCCAACCGTTTTCTAATTTTGTAATCAAATTTCACCAATCGGGAGCATTTTTTTCGCAGACCGATCGACAGAAACACGTTATTAGAGAAACGTAGGTTGATTCAGAGTTTGATATTGGTCAAGAATACGAGTATTTGGCGGGGACTGCGAGGTTTTTTTCTGCATGTCGTTTTGACAAAATGTAGAAATTCTTTCGGTCTTTTAATTGCAAAATCAGAAACGACACGTGAAAGGAACACATTCATATATGTACTAAATTTCGTTAACATATCTCATTGTTCGGTCTTTGGTTCAATCTCCAGTTATATGCAAAAGTTGATGTTTTATCGGGGTCCATAATTGGATTTTGATTATGGATAAGCATGACTGACTGACTAACAAACTGTTTTGCATTTCCTTTCCTATTTGTGATATCGAATCATTTTTAAGAAGACAAATATGTGATTAAGTGACATGAGCGTAGTAGGGTGCAGAATGTACTATTTTAAACGCAAAATTATATGTATACACAATTTACTTACCCTTGGTTCCTAGCAGTCTTTTTGATATGTACCATTGAAATATTGCCATTTATTTCTCTAGTGTTGCCTGTGCTACCGTTCGAGTCTTTCCCAGCCGATGTCGTACTATTCGCCGATGAAATTTCTTCGGTCGATCTTAAAGTAAGCGTTGAAGATTTCTCTTTCATTTCATTGGCTTGTTCAATAGCATAACTAATTAGGGAGGAGCGAGCCTCAAGCAGCATAGCAATAATAGGTGCTTCTTCGGCCGGTACACCAGTTTCGGGCCATTTATACCAATAGTGTGTCAGTTCGCGTGTAACATTTTCTCCCGTACGCTTCAATTGTATTGTGGATATGGCGTATTTGTCTTTAATTTCACGATTTTGTAAAGTAACTTGAAAATCGCCAAAGGTGCTGTGATTATCTAAAGTCACCGAAGGTGGTAAATATTCCGCACATTTCTCAACACCACTCTCTATAAGGTCCGTCGCTTGAATGATGACTCGTGATTGCTGTTCCCAAATCATACGCCAAAAATCTTCTACAGTTGAATCAAGGGGAGCTTGACAAGCTATATAATATTTGGGCGAATCTTTAGGACCCTGAAAAATTAAACAAAATATCGCCTGATAATTAATTAACGCACTAACAATTCGTTTTGTCAAACACTTTCACTTTCACGAGGTCTTATATTGTTAATCACCTTGTAACAACAGTTTGGCTTCTCGTTTTTCGTTTGTTCAAACATATGAGTACACACAGATTTGCTTTTATATGCATTGTGTATATATTTTAAACAAAACTATGTTCTTTTGTTTATGATAAAGAATCAGAAAAACGAACGCTTACTATAATTAAATACTTAGAAGCATATTAATAGATACCCATAAGCGTAACTGCACAGATGGTTGTGTTTAGTTCTGACAAATTACAATTAATACCGAGAATCTTGCACTTGAATTATTGCTTCGCAAATGCACATAAGATATTCTTTACTCTCATACCCTATACCATAATTGTGGCATACGGTACTATTAAGTTTGTGCGACTATGTGTAACATCCCGAATGATTGCAGGTTAATTCATCTTTTATTATACCGATCGATTGCAAATCATTTTCTATCCCTCTGCCTGTTCGTTCGTATATTTTCGCGTTCGATTTGCAGATTGCAGTTGTTGAACTCTTTTCACTGTATTTTATAAGCTTTGTGAGGTGTTTTGGATCAAACACAATGGATTGGATTGGTCTACTGTTGACATCACTCGCCATATGGCAATGGCTTATTTTGAATAAGACGTTACATGAAAAGAGTCATTATTTTCAAAATTTCTCGACAAAAATTCCTTAATACTAGTATTTCCACTTACTGAATTGTTGTAAAAAACTCGGATTGGACGAGTCAATTTTTTAAGCTCCCCCCCACAACTGCTTCTATGAAAAGTAAGCCTTTACATGGCAAAAAAGTGAAAGTGAGAATTGGTTCGTAAAGGTAATTTGAGGTTAAGTGGAGTAAACTGGGATCACGTACGCCTATTTTCTGGATAACCTATCAAATGAAGATTCTGATGAAAAGTATGCGTTTGCATAAAGTTAAAGGTAAGTAAAAATGTTTAATTTGTAGGACCTTGTGACAAAAACGAGTGAAATTTAAATTTACAGAATTTGGACTATGTAAGTTTACTCGCTTTGGACTCGCTCTCATATAAGGGCTTCCATGAAAAGCAACAAAATGTATATATGTGATATTTTATTACGAAAATAAGTAAGGATTGCTTTATAAGTAGTGTATTTAATGGATGGTCTGGCCTGGTTATAATGTTTTTACTCTTATATGCACATATATGTATTTTTATACAAATATCTAAGCAAGTAAGTAGTATAAGAAAATGAGTCGACAAATATAAATATTTGCAGTAGAGTCTATCTATACAATAAATTTTCTTCTACTTACTCATTTTCTTATAAATATTCGTAAACATTTAGAAACTTGAGCAATCGTAGCAGAGACCACTAGCGATAGATGATCCGCTGAAAGTGATTTTTATTATATCAAGCACATCAAGCGTAAATTAGAGGACTTCATGGAAGAAGAAAGGCCTGTCGTAAATACAAGCACAATAGTCGAACGCGGACCACTATTTTCGATCTATATCACGTTGTTTTCTATAGTTATTCATATCACGACTTTTCAGAAAAGCACTTTTTGTGGAGAAAGGGTTCTCCGACCCGAACGAATTTAATAGCGTTCGTTCCTGTGTCAAAAGGCGTCGGTATACCAAAACTCATCAATCCGCGCAAGCTTGTACCGCAAGGAGGTTCTATACACCTCCTATTTTAATTCAAGAAAACATTATAGGCTTCATAATATGTATATATAATATATATATATATATATATATTTTTTTTTTTTTTTTTTTTTGATCGACCTAAGATTCTAAATCGATTTGGCTGTGCTTCCTGTTGCTGGCCTATCCGTTTGTGGTTTCTTGTTTGTTTGCTTATCATTGTTGTAAAAATTGAGGTTAAGCTACGGGATTTTGCTTAGAAATTCTTAATTGACGATCCCTTATCAATATGGCCCACCCTTAATAGGCGAAAAAACTGCAGTTTATGGTGTGTAACTGTCCCAAATATTAAGATAAAAAGATGTAATTGAATACAGATCTCTCTAACTGGTAATCTTAAGTTAAGTTTGATCCGCCCAAAGTTGTGTCCGTCTTAGCCAAATAGGTTTAATTTACAATTCATAACGATCGCGAAAATTAAAATTAGAAATTAAAACAGCACCAGGCGTAGATATCCTTACCTGAGAATTCTAGATTGGACTTCATCCGCCTATAACTGTGCCTATGGTCAATAAAAAGTTTCGACTTCGATAGAAGATGTTGATCGGAAACACGGTACAAACGTTATCAATCGACTTTAGAAGAAAAGCAGAAAAAATTCGGTAGTAGCTTGCTTGCGATATGGAAAAGCTTGTGCAGCTTCTAAGTAATATCGATCTACAAATGGGGCAGGTGTTAAATATTCACCATAACCACATACATATATACATAGCTTTTTTCTGCACAGTTTTACTTATGAGAAACGGTCCATAAATCTGCATTCTGTAGGTAGCTACTGTAATTTTAAATGGACTGTAAATTTTTTCATCTTAAAGTTACTCGATCAAGATTGTACGTAGTAGTTTATTAGGCGAGCTGTGTTCTAATGCAAATTCGTTCAATTTCGGCATATGCATTTGCTTAGTAGTGCTTACTATTGAAGTATTGAAGTAATAGAATTGTGCAGAATTCCTCTTCAAAAGTTTGACTTCCTTTTCATAATTACTAACTTCTTTACGATCGTTTTTATGCCCTACACCATTTGTGGCATAGGGTATATAAGTTTGTGCGAACGTCTGTAAAACGAAGATGAACCCTACTTTTTTTATAAGCGGTCTGTCTGATGTCTGTCCGTGTAAATTCTTGCTCAAGCTACAAGTCGCAATTTTAGAGATATTTTGAAGAAAGTTAGTGCACTCACTGTACTGTGACCCCGTATTGAATATGGTTTAGATTGGACCACTTTTTTGATCACACCTCTAAAACGGCCCAATTTTGGAAAATCGTTACATAGAAAACGTTTCCAATTTTCAAAATTTTTCGACAAAATTCGCTCTGTAAAAATTTGGAAATTCTAAGTAGAAAAATTTGATTCACCTGTGGCAACTGTTTGAACCCTCTCTCACATAACCATTCCTACGAAAACTGAATCTTTTTATTATAACCAGTTATAATTTTTAATATTTCATGATGAAAATTACTTCATAATAGTAAATTGACATATAATTCCACCTTACCGAATTTGGATCAGGTAGATCTGCAATATTTACACACAGTAAGTGTGCATGTGATTTGTAATTCCCTGATTTATTATCAAATTTCTGTTCTCCTTTTATAAATGATAATAATTATAATTCTAAGAAGACTATGTGTCCACATATGTGGCCAAAGACATCAAGGGATTAAGCAGTGTGAAAAATCACACATTTATTCCAATTATTTAAAGGCTTTACTGTACACGTTTCTACACTTTCAACTCTTCTTCAAAGCTTTCGTTTATGGAAGATATGTATATTTCAATGAAATGCTTGTTAAAACAAATTTGAATAATTTTTATTTATTTATGAAACCTGTAGAATATTACATTTGCAGGGTCTCTCAAATATTTGTTCTTTGATAGCATAAACAAATATATAATTAATAAGTAAGTTGCCTTTTTAAATTTTTTTCTTTTTGTTTTTAATAAGACCAAACACTCAGCTATTATCCCCTACTCATGTGACATGGTGACTATCAAAACGAAAAGAGAAAGAAATAGGAGGGTAGTGGCGACAGCCTAGTAGTAGTAGTAGGTGTGCTGGTAGACGGCAAGTACTGAATTTAAGATTTGAACTCGCGAGCACTGATCAAGTCAGTCGCGGTTGTTACCTACTCGGTTACTCAGGCGTAAATTTGCAAAAAAACGGATAATATTTTTTTGATCGCAAGCTTGTTAATTGCCCAATTGGGTGTGCATTCTATATGATTCTAATTTTAGATCGACCTGGGCTCATCACCCTTTGCAACTTTCGAGTTATTTTGGGCTGGTTTATTCGCACTTACGAAACTTGACCCGGAATAACAAGTCAGAATATAAATAGTAGCGTTCGGATCAGCTCTTGCAGAGCAAATAGACGGTTAAGCGATAGTTCCAACAACACATATATTCTTAAACCGTTTCAGATGCTTACTGAAATGTACATGTAACTCTACATCGAACTTATGTTTGATAATTCTTTAGGTTAACGCATACTAGAAAAATAAATTCAATCATCCATTTACACGAATCTGTATGAAAAGGGGGGCATAAATTGATGCTATGGCAATACCTGCACATACGCAAAGTATATGAAAAAGCCCTTTCTTTCTTTTGAAAGCAATTCATTTGCCGCGTCTTTCCTGGAAAGTCACTATACATTTTATTGGCTGTGTCAAGCTTGGTGAATAGTCTCACATTTAAAATGATGGTGCCACGATGTCAAGATCAATTGCACAGATTTCATTGTTGTACACGCAAGTGCATCGAGTTGAATCTTGTAAAATTCCACATACTTGCACGCGAATTGAATTTTGTTTTAGATCGGAAACAAAGTTAATACCATTGTCACGCGATTGAGAACTCGAAGCTATGAGAATTCGTATATACTTGACCTATACATCAAACGTTTAGTTAGAGTAAAAATATTTCCTAGTCTTCTGAAACCCAATCGAAAGTTTATCCGTGTTTTTCCTTTTTGAAGTAAGTTTTACTAAAATGCGTTATTTACTTTTCTTTATTGGTCGCGCTAGATCGCAGCAGTGCTTCGCTGCGCCACTCCACTAATGTGCTAATTTGCGACAATAATTTTTCTGATGTACTAATTTTGTCATGATCTCCCCTCTCCTTGCCCGAACCCTCTCTATCCCGACCCATCCACTCTCTATTAGTCCTCATCGTCTCTCTATTTCTTTCCATCTTCTGCCTCTTCCTCTTATTCTCTTCAATATGCATCGGAAACCTCATGTGCTTTATCTGGTACGATGGGAATACTGTATTAATCTTTCCAAGGGTTTTTTTTGCATCAAGAGGTATGTAATGGAATTCTTGAAATAATATATAAAGAGATAGAAAGTTGATGCTTGAAGGGGGAAGGGTTTTTTTTGATTCGCGACTCAATGGTCGCGGGTTCAAATCTCACGTGCGGTAGAGTTTTCAATGCAAGTGAGCATATAATCTAAGTTAACCGGTAGCAAAAAAAAAAAAAGTTTTTATTCTAAACACAAGCTTTATAGTCATTTTTCATCTGATTTGTTCAATTGGATCAAAGCAACAACGAAAAATTGAAACAAAAAGACCTGAAAACCTGGATGCCGAGTGTAATAGTGATTAAAAATTTTTGAGCAATCCATTAGATCTACGATGATGGGAAAAATTTGATATCTATATCAGGTAGCATAAAAATTTTTGTTTGAGGAACTCTGCCTCGTTGCGTTAAATGGATCGTTTACAATTTTCTGCATTTCAAGAACACTTGTTTTCTTTTAACATATGTTGTGCTTAATGATTGGTTACTATTTTGTCGACAACCGGCTTTAAGAGTCATTAAACATATATATCATATTTCAGTAAATTTTGTTGCTTTCTTATAATGTATAAACATGTAAACCACAGAGGTAATAATACGGAGAAAACACCTTAAAAAAGCAAGTTACGTTGCAATAAATTCTGAATTACTTGAGACTGCTGTAGCCGCTGCTGTATAAGAGTTATTACAGTCAACACTTATCTTAAATGATGGAATTTGATACGTGATATAGAAACTAATGATCTTTGAAATAATTATTCTTTGCAATTGAACAGAATCCGTACAGGCATCTAAGCTATGAAGTCAACATACAAATTCGTTTCTGTTAACGTCGTTATCCTAAATGTGAGCGAATCTTTGAGTCGATTTAGCTGATTTTCAAATCGAATGTTATGATCAATGTTGTATGGAAATTTTGGGATATTAATAGGGGCATTAATGAAACAAATAATTGCAACTTTTTAATTTTAAGCGGATATAGGGAGCTATTTAGATAATGTCTGAACTTAGCTTAAAAGAAGTTGAGAGAAACATGGGAACTAGTAGCCCATAATATCCAAGCTTTGTGACCGCAAATGGGCGATAGCAGTGCGTAATATGCGGCGAACTCGATTCCTGAATTCATGCTGACCCATATTTTATTGGAATTTCTATACATTAACTGCCAAATATTTCTCCTCTTGCTTGATACAAATGTTAATGATGACGTATGATTTGCTTTCACTTAGTTTAAGGAGTCTAATCAAACTAAATAAAGGTATGGGGCTAGACATAGGTCATCTGTAACTAAATAACTAATTTACGAATTGTGTCATAATTAATTCAATTTTAAATTCTTTTAATGTGATTGCTATTAAAAAAATTCATAGCTTACCCTCACATAATTGGCATTAATGTATTCCGTTCTGACATCATCGTTCAGTCGTTGCAATAAAACCCGTGTTTCCGGAAGCGGTACAACATTAGCGTATCTATATAAAAGAGAAAGTTCATTTAGGGCAATTACGTAAAAAGCCGGTGCTATTTTGAAAGTCGTCTTTTTACCGATTTTTATCTTCACATCCTAGAGGCACTTCATCCGGTCGCGCCGTCACTTGTGGTACATCACGAAACTCTTCATATATATTTGATTTCTCCTGAACAAATCGAGCCAATTCGATTGTACTTAAGGCATTGTGGCGTAACGAGGGATCATCGAATGCTAAATTAGCATGTGAACGTTTCGAAGATCGCAAAGCGGCGCCTTTCAAGCGCATGCTATTGTACACGGAAGTATTATCTATGGTATAATCGTCTAAACTTACTGGCCGACAGCGTTGACTGTACGATGATGATTTTTGTCGCTTACGCATTAGATAAAGAAAAGCAACAAGTAGTATAAGGGCTACAACACCAATGACGCTAACCGTTATTGCTATAATAACATTAACGTCTGTTTCGGCGGGACTTTCAGACGTTTTCGTATATAAGTGACCACCACCACCACCAGTGTTCGCATTACCCATAACGGTTGTAGCTAAAGTGGGTACAACTACTTTAGGAGGATAGATACTCGTTGTGGTAGTGATTTGAGTGCTGGGCGTAGTGGCGATTATAGGTGTTCTCGCTGCCGGTATTTGTAAAATTGTCGTTGCCTGCGGGGTTTCTGTTGTTGGATTATGTATGACTTTATAGATATCTTCAACTTTTGTTGCTATATTTACAGGCGTAGCAGTTGTTGCTGTCGTTGCTGTTGGTGTCATCATTGTCGCAATAGTAGTTGTTGTTGTTGTTTTCGTTGCTATGGCAGCGCTTGTGGTTGTAGAATAATCATCCAATAAACTTATTAAAGTTTCCTCAGTTGTGGTATTCGTACTCATTGTTGTATTTATTGTTCTAATGGCTGGTGTTGTTGTTGTTATTGTTGTTGCTGCTGCTGCTGCTGTTTTTCTTGTTATAAATAATTTATTATGACTGCCTTTCTCTGGCTGTTCAGTTTCGTATTCAAGCTTCTTCTCGGATTTCGTTTCGTTTGTTTTTATTTCTGCGATATTAATCTGCTTTGTTTTATCCTTAACGTTTGTGTTGTTTTTATCTAATACCTCAATAGCGTTTGTTTCTATAGAGCTTTCAGACGAAGGTCTTAATGTTCCGGAAGCGACAGGTGTTATCTCGGTTACACTTGTTTTTGTTTCACTTATCTCTTCTGACATTACCGACAACGGCAACGTGCTCGTCGTGCTATTTGCAATATTTGCTGTTATTGTTAGCACAGTTGGTGAAGCTAAAGTGACATCTGCTTTAGGGGTTGATTCGATTATTGCTGTTGTTGTCGTTGATGTCGTAGAATTTTCTTTAACTTCGCCTTTATTTTGCTCAACTAATTGATTATTTAATATTGTCTCAGTTTCCGCGCTTGTCGATGCCGTTGTATGCTCAGTCAATGTCTCTTTTGATGGCGTTATTGCCGTTGTTCCTATTGTTGTTGTTGTTGTTGTGGTTGCTGTTTCAAATACTTTGCTAATTAAATGCGTTTTAATTGTACTTGAATCGTTTTTGTTGTTGCTCTCTTCCAAATTTATTTCGTTACCGTTTGAATCGATTTCGGTTTTTTGCCATCGCTGACCGTTTATTAATGTGCTGTCGTTGGTGGACAAAAACGTAGGTGTAGTATAAATTTCGTCGTCTTCTATTGTTATTATTGTTGTCTCCTCTTCTATGCTATTTACGAAACTATGACGAGGTATTACGGTAGTAACAGTGTAAACGCTTGATATATGCGATATAGATGCGTTCAACTCATCGTCTATGAGCGTACTAAACGTTGTTGTCTCGCTGGAAGCTTGTCCAACATCAACATTAACAGCTGTTGTGACTGCGTCATCGACACTGGCGCTGGCGTTAGCATGATAATCAGTAACAGCGTCAACATTGTTCGTTTTTATAAAATAATGCTCATCGCTGTTTTGTGTTGTTACACTACGATTTGCTGTCAGTGTCAACGACTCATTAAAAGTTGGGGGTGACTGCGTATCCAGGTAATTTGGGAGTGCCGTTGGCATATTTATAGCGTTCTTGAAAGTTGTTGTTTCGTCTGACATTGGCTGAGCAGTGGACGTTATTGTTTGTGCGGTATCAGCTGCTTCTGTTATCGTCTGCGTGGTAACGGTTGCTGGTGTCTCTTGCGTACTTTCATTATCAATTGTCGATAAAATTGTTGTTACATTTACTAACGGTGATTGAACATTGGCAGGTGTAGGAACAAAAGCAATTTGCTGCTCGGTTATGTTTGGCGAAATCATTAATTCTTTGGATATATTTGACGCAATAGTCGTTGTTGTTGTCTCATCTAAGAAAATCTCATTGTTGCTTAAGTGCTTCTTTTCGGCCGCATTAATCGATTCCACAGTACTATCCTCTATAATTTCTTCTGTGCTATCAATATCGTTTGCAGCTGTATTAGGACCTTGATTGACTCTGCTAGTTACCAAATCTTTATTAGCCATTATTTGGGTCCAATCTAAGAGAGTCTTTTCACTGTTACCATTGTTAGTTAAAGTTTCATTAAAGTTTCTTTCATTATTCGCTTTGGGCGATTGTTTCGACGTTGCTATGGTATCATTTGATTTAGCCACCGTTTTCATGCCTACGAGAGACCATACGGCCGAAGCGTTCGGTAAATTCAATTGTTGAGCATTCGTTGAATTATTATTTATGAATTTGGCTTTTTTCTCAGCGCTAGAGACGCGAACTTCATTTATTTCTTCACTATTGAGTATAGAAGGAGAACTAGAAGAAGACGGCATTTTGATTTCGACATTTCTCTCTACGTCTGAATCGGTTATAGATTTTATGAATGACTTTAATGTGGTGAAGGGATTTGAAGTAATTTTTGCGGTGGTAGTGGTTAAAATTTCATTTTCATTTATGTTATTGAAAATAGTCGTAGTGGTAGTAGTAGTAGTAGTAGTAGCTGCAGTAGTAGATAAAGACTGACCATGTTCTTGTTCTTGTCGATTGGTCGTGAAAGTGCCTTTAGATAAAGTAACGGTAGAGGTTTCTATCCTTTCAGGATCAAAGAATGGCGACTCAGTTGAAATTGTACCCTTTCGGAAAGAGATCTCAGTAGAGACTGTTTCTGCAATCGATGAAGAGTCTAGCCAAGCTTTCTTACCTTTTCTATAAAACTCTTCTTTAGCTATTGGTGGCTGTGTGTGATCGATAGGCCTTTCCTGAGTTGTAATCAATTTTTCGTCTTGTTCAGATCTTTCAGTTGAACTATCAAAATGTGCAGGTGGTTGTGCGTCTGGTTTACTCGTAACTTTTTCTGTCAAACTTGACGTTATAGAGTTCTTATAAGTTTCATTTATGATTTTTAAAGCATTCTCGGTGACCTCCAAATCTTCTTCTTTTTTATCTTCAGCACCCAGCAATTGTAATAAGTCATGATCGAATATTTTCAATGCTGTCTTTGAATCATTAATTTCTTCTGTAGCACCTGTTGGACGATTTACTACATGATTATTATTATTATTATTATTATGTTTGACTTTCTCTTCCTTTTCATACTTGGCATTGATATCATTAACGGAGAGCTCTGCAATGCTAAAATTAGAATTAGCACTGGTGGTGGTAGTGGTGGTTGTTTCAATGTTAAATGCCGCCTCATGGTTCAGTTTTTCAATTGTAATTCGTGATAAATTTAATTGTTTGTTATCTTCATTACTTTCACTAACATTGCTATGAGTCGTCTCTGCGGTATCAACAGTTACAATTTGGTATTTTCCTTCATTTTCTTCGCCAATGTCAGGGTCAGTTTTTGTTAATTTACTTATAATAGTATTATTTACTATATGAACGATAGGAATCTCTCCGACTTTCTGTTGAGGATTTAAGGGAATTTCTCTTTTTTTAATAGTAGCTGGATGAACGTTAGTGATCAATACTGATAGCGTTAATGCTGAGACAAACCAAATGATCACCTTGCTGTTGTTGTTGATTGTGTGGGCATGCGGTGGCATGAACAGGGTCATCATCATATTTTCGTTCTATAACTTAATTGGCACGTCACGTAATGCACTCGTACGTTTGTGTGGGGCGGTTCAATTTTGATTTGAAATATTTTACCTTTTCTTGGTTTCGTTGGTTGTCTTTTGTTTTGGTTATGACAGAAATTTGGTTTCGTTTAAACTTTCAGTTAAACATAAATCAGCTGCATAAGGCAATTAGACCAATGCTATAGTTGTCGTTCCAGTATACTTTGGTCTTTGACATAAGTATATACGTATGTTTATGCTTTGCAATGTTGTTGTCGTTGTTGTTGTCGTCGTCGCCGTTGTCGTTTTCAACGCCAACGTCTATTGCTATTATTATTGATGTGTAAACGTTTGCCTTTTATTTGATTTCTATTTCTAACTTTTTTCTATTATAATTACTGTTCGAAGCTGAGCTTGTTTGGTTTTTGTACTTTGGTAAGTATTCCATATTTTAGTATAGTATAGTATAGTGCATTGTTGGATGGCCACACAAATTCAATTTAGTATTGAATAGTGCGCCATGTTTCGGTCAGCCAGTGCAAAGGAACTCTGTAAAGAAGAGAAATTGAAATTTTTCATTTTACAAATTAATTACATCACAAGTAGTTAGACATAAAGGAGGTCTATTAGATCTGTTTGAAATGTTTGAAATATGCATTAGGAGGGATAGCGAATATGTCTGCGAGTCAGGCCAAACTTTATAATTATATTACACGAATAAATTGGACGTGTGCAGTGAAGTTTTTCTTTTTCCTCTCGTCGTCTGGTAGGGTGCAAAATTCCCTTAAATTGATATACGAGCCCGCTTACAAATTTAACAATGTTCCTTTACCATTAAATTAAGACCTCAAAGTGCATATTTTCAGTTAAAAGAGAGTAGTCATAAAGCGCCAAATATGAGGCAATTCCTGCCTGAGCTTTTCATAGACTACCGTATAGGCGAGTAGACACGAGTCGCAACCATCAAGTAAGTGTTTGTCTTTCATTACTGCGTCTCACTTAAAAGCCTTCAGTGATTGACATAGACCATATAGCATCTTTGTTTATTTGGTTGTTAGAGGTACGAGAAGACGGTGATAGGCCAGGCACACAGAGTTGGCGAAAGAGGGAAAGGTGCGGCCATAGCAGACCGACAAATGTATGCCCGAATAGTTACCGACCATTCATTATAGCTGCTGTCATATGTCAGCCATAATTAAAGTATCGTCTATTACGCTGAGGATTGAACTCGACTCTACCGACTTGATAGTTGCGCTTTTTAATGACGACCCTATGCTGTAGATTAAGTTTGCTTCGTGTGCCGCTTGTATCTGGTAAATATGAAAGAAGACAAGGATGATCTTGATTTCTTTTTCTACGATTTGATCTATCCTATAATATAGTGAAAAAACGTTTGAGATTAGCTTTATGCTTCTGAACGGAAACGTAGTGTAGACGGTAGTGTGGCGAGGTAAGAGGGAAGGTAACCAAGGAGTTTTGCTTAGCAATTTATAAACACCCAACTCTCTTTTATTCGGTAGATGCGCTTCTTAGAAATACGTGCAAAAAAAGATTGCGTAAAAAATACCGTTTGCAGCGAGGTAAAAAGGAAGGCAATCAAAGAGTTTTGCTTAGCAATTTATAAACATCCCACTCTTTTTTATACGGTAGATGAGCTTCTAAGAAACACTTCAAAAAAAAAATTGTGTAAAAAACACATGCGACGTATGGTGAATTTGATAATATGTTTCACAATAAAAATAATGAAAATTCGTTTAAGGTGAAAAAGCTCCTTTTAATTTTTCAAAAAATCGTGGAAGAAAAGCAGTAATAAAATTTTTATATCATCTTTATAAGCCAAAAACTGTACATTTTTGTTATAAAAAACACTGAAATTAGTGTACAGTGAAAACACAGTTCCTAGCTATGTACAACATATTCAAATTAAAATTGAAATTGGAAATAAACATCAATATCTAAAATTTTAATCGCTACTTACTAATCAGCATGTTCGCTCAGTTGTATTTTGCTACTGTATATATTGGTTTCTGTGAGACACTGCCAAAATTAGAATAAAAAAAAAATTTTTTCTTTTTTGGTTTCGTGCTAGAACAAAAAATTCGTGTATTTACACTCATTAGGCAACCGTGTTATTTCAAAATTGTGTAAGAAAAAAAACCCGAAAAAGAAATGGCGATAAGTTTCAAAAAGCCAATATTCATATTTATATCATTTTATAGAAAAGACCCAGATGGCAAAAAAAAAAAAAAAAATTCCTACATAAAGAAAAGGACTACACCTCCTTCTGGCTTCGAAGAAAAGACGCCATTTTGTCTTCATGAAGAAGTTCGTTTCCTAAAAATATCTCTCGTCTCTCATTGGGTTTAGTATATTCAGCTTTGCGTTTCGATGTACGTCGCAACTGCTCGCGGTTGTTTTCAGCCCATGTTACGTAAGGCTTTTTCTCACAATCTGTCAATCTCCGCCATTTCATTCCAGCAGCTCGGCATAACTCGGCTTGTCGTATTCTGACTCGGTTCTTTTTCAATTTCCGGCGATACTCATCTAAGAAAACGAAAAACGATGTAAGAGCTGTCGACTTCTTATAAATCGCCTCTCTTGCGCAGCTAGCACTGGGCGATGCTCTTTTCCTAAACTTCACTACATTATGGATTTTGTTACAAATTTTCCACATTTTTGGCCAGTTTAAAAAATTGAATTAAAAAAATTGAATCAAAATATCAAAACATAAATAAAAAGGAAACACTGCATGATTATTAAAACTGAAAATTTCTTCTTTAAAAAGAAAAGCTGAAACGTATAATTCCAAGGCTATTATTCCTCAAAGAAACGAAGGACAGTTGCTGTAAACTTTGGTTGATGAATAGCTAATGCAAGGGATAGAAAAAGACTTGTCCTGAAGCCGGGAGCTAACTTGAGATGATGGTCGCTTCACAGTAATACATAATGCTATATAATGGATTGTGTATCTATCTCTTAGTATCATTTACGTGGTACTGTTGGGAAAGTTAGTTGACAGGAAACCGGGTTAGGTTTAGTTAAGTTTAACTAGAGCTTCATGTTCCTTTAATATGCTACCAATAATCTATTTGGTTATGTCGGGATTTATATGTTAGTCTAACAATTTCAACGCTATTTCTACCACGATTTTGTGTAGACATATTTCGACCAAAAGGTGTCTTTTTGATACCTTTGCATTTGGATGCAAATAGCTATGAAAATAATTATTAAATATGTGTATATTAATGTACATTGCAAAATTATTGACCTAATGAACTTCCAACTTTTGTATATCAAATTTTATCTTCATTATAAAATATGGTAATCATAATACAATAAAAAAAGAGATAAGAAAAAAATATTTACTTATTCAATAATACATTTCTTGCAGACGAATGATTTCCCTATTGAGCACCTCCTGCATATATATTTGTTGCACAGTGAAGAAACTCTAATTGTTCTATTGCCTGAGCATTGTTTTATTTGGCATTCACATAAGGCTATTGATCATGTCGCCATATTTACTGTTTATCCTTCACGTTCCGCATACTCAACTGCGCGTTCTTCTCCTAACTTGAATATGAAATCTTGAAATCGTGAAATATTCTTGCCCGTCGTTCCTTTGTATAATACCCATGCGTTTATTCCCATCAAATGAAGGATATTATAAAATACTAGCGTAGGCTATCTGCGGCGCTTACATTTGACCCTATATTTCCTAGCCATTTGGTTAGTCATATCGAGCCCAAATTTCGTGCTATTGTCAAATTGAATTGTTTCAGGAAGTCGTTTATTGGTTGTTTTCCCCTTGTACAAATTTATGTCTTGAATTTAAAAAAAAATTCTTTTTTGCTGGGTATACTTTTATATATAGATAGAATTTTCTGATGCGTAAATCGTTCCATTTTATCCTTTATAATTTTCGCTATTCTTAATGCCTAAATTATATGTTTTATTATGCTATGTTGGTGCAAAATATTGTAAACTTATACCCCTTTTAAGACCCATAACCTAGGAAATAATTTTAGCCAATTACAAATAAATAATCACTTCAAATAAAAAGTGGAGGGTTCGATCCCATCCATTTCCAAAAACGTTAAGATTAAACGAATGGAGTTACGAAAATTGAGTCTGGAAATGATTCCGAGTCGGTCTTTGTAATAATAGGTGAATCCTATCCTAAGACATTCTGGGTATTACATTCATCCACACAAACTTAATAAATGCCGTCCGACTAATGCGTAAAAAGGACAATTACGGATATGAAAAAACGTAGTCTAAGCCGCCCATCATTTTTAAACATTTCTATTTTAATCGCGCAAAATCAAAAAAAACAAAAAAAAGTTGGATTTTGAAATCTGTTCAAGACCTGAAAGTTTCCAAAGCCTTTCAATATTAAACGTTTTAATGTGTATGCACTTGCTTCAACTTAAATGTCACTTGTTTTTGATGGGAGTGCCAGTTCTAATTCTATGTATGCATGCACATAAATATTTAGACTAAAATGTACGTTGATTGTACGTAGGAGTTGTGTTCGTAATATTCAAGCATCAAAATAATATGAAAACATTATAGTTGGACTTGGCCGATTATTAAGTACTCTACACCACATGGTCTAACAAACTTTCGCCATAGAACACAAAAATTAGACCCTGCTTTCATATGAACAGTTTTTATTATATGGGAGTGGGTTCAAAGAACTTCTGCAGCCGGTCCAAAGTTTTTATAACAATTTAGCATGGCGAAATACTATTATTACTATAGTTTTGACCACTTTTGGGAGCAACTTTTGAAAGATGGAATTTTTTCCGAGCGTTATATGGAGAGCCGTTGAAAAAAATGGACCTGCTAATTTGGATAATGCGGTGCGATTTAAATTGGAAATTCTTAGTGCCTTTTGATCACACTATGTTTTTACCATGTGTGGGATTATGAAAAATATCATGAAAAAGTTAGACCTTCACAGATATATCGTAAAAAAAATTAGCTAGAAATGGAAGCAAATCAAGAGTACTACCATCACCACTACTTCTTTGTTAACCATTACCTAGCTTACTTAGTAAAACATTTTTGAAAATTCGCCATAGCCATACATATAGCAACACACCAATGGATTACTTAATGGAAATCTTCTTCTCTACTCGGCAAACGTAAACGAATTCTTACAATAAAGCGACTAACTTATTTGTGGATATTCGCTAAATGGGAAAATAACAGATTGACTCTAGATCTAAAAAAGCAATTAAAAAGTACAACAAACAATATAAAAAAATTCTTGTGAGAGTTCACTGGCGAATTTATTTCGTGCTTACACATTTTAATTCAGTTAAATATATTATAAAAAATGAATTATGCTTTCAAAATCCAAATCAAAAATACATTACGTCTTTACAACATGCATAACTCGGGGAATCCCACTCATATACGCATTGCAATCGGCATAACTTAACTGCATTATGAATGATGAGAATGAAAAATTGATGAAAACACCAAAAAGAAAAAAAAATTCATAAAGGGTATTCATAGATTATTGAAAATCGTGTTCAAAT